TTTTTTTTTTTTTTTAAACAAGAATAAAAGTGGTTCATCTTTTTTCCATTGCTAATTTGAGATGCTACTTTTACTAAATTCCATATTAATGCCATCATTTGAAGTTCTAAAGAAATAAAATCATTCTAGTTTAGTTCTTAAGGTAAAATATTGAATCCCAATTTTTCAAATGATGATTTTGCTTCATTTTAACACTTTTTTCCTCTCAGATTTGGCAAGAAGAAAAATATACATTTGCTGTTTGTTTTTATAACCCCTGAAAACTTTAAAGGTATGTGCCTATTGTATATATTATGTTTTTTCTATAAATAGAAGTCATAAGGTCAATATTTAATGCAGAAATTCTTAGGTTGTGTTTCAGAGCATGGAGCTGATGTTACTTTAATTGAACCACTGACAATCGAAAAAATGAGTATTGTGGTAAAATACTGGAAAACATATTTCTCAAATACCGGTGAGTGAAAACCAAATTTCCAAAGGTTTGAAAAATTCTAATTGAATGCTCCAAAAACTATATATATACATTTTTAAGTTGGTATTCCACTTATGCTTTTTATTGGCTGAGGATTAACTGTGTGCTGTGTACTGTAAAGAACATGTAATCCTTATTAATCATAGTCTGAAGGAAAAAGTGTAAATAAAATAAAAGGAAACATATGTTCCCTACCTGCGAAGAAAAAATTTACGTGTTCCAAAGTTTAAAGTGTGTTGCACAAGGGCAAACAGTGTTGCAGCAGGCACAGGGTTTTTCTTTTTAGTGCCCTAGCTGTTACCATCATTTCTTGCTCTTTAAAATGGAATTAATCATGCTGTGTCATTGTATGCGTGTCTAAAAGCCAGGGCCACTAACCTTGAATCTTATCATACTTTCTGCTTGCAAAACCCTTGCTTATAAATTAGTTTACTTCTGTAGGTTGCTAGGGTTGTTGTCCTTTCCGTTTTAGATTTTTAGACCTAGGTAATTACTGTCATTGCTTCAATTAGACCTCACATTTCAAAACTCTTCACCTACATTGTCTAATGTGTATCACCAGCATCTAAACACTTAAGCTAAATTAGCTTTAATTTGGCTCATGAAAGGACAAACTCCAACTTCTGAAATTAAATTCTACTGAAATCATTGTGGTCAATGACTATTTGTGGTTTTTCTAGGCCTGGGATATTAGCTAGGAATCTTTTAAAATTAAGATTTTTTTTTCTTAAAATGGGCCTGAAAAACACTTTCAGGATTATCCTGTATAAACTCATACTCCAGATGACGTAGGACTCAGTACACTCCTCTTTTTTTCATGTCCTTTTTTAACATTGAGGGCAGATTGGTGAGTCTGTTCTATAACATTCCAATGGCTTTCAGCCCCTGAGTTTCAGAGTTCTTCCTGGAAATGGCTAACTGGTGATCCAAATCCTCTTTGCAAACTCTTATTTGGTTCTCAGTGGAAATAGAGCAGCTGCTCGTCACCAGCTGTCTAGCACCTTCCTATTGGTCATAACCACGTCTGCTTCTGGTCATCTCATGTTTGCTCTGAAAATGAGCAGCTGCAAAAAAAAAAAAAAAAAAAAAAAAAGGAAAGAAAGAAAAAACCATCAGATGTCATATTTTGACAATACAGCTGCCTACTGTAGACTCATACTTATTTTCTGTTAAGTATGACAGTTACCTATAAAAACTTAATAAATAAATCTCAGTTGAATCTGTTTTAAGCACACCTACCACTAAGTTACTAGAATTTGGTTCTAGAATTTGGTTGATGTCTGGAGTGAATAGAATGTAGTATTTTCATTTTGCTTTCTAACCTGGGTGGTTTCTTGCTTTATATATAGACTGAAATCTATAAAATGCATTCTATTTAAAAAATCCTGCTTTGTAAACTCTGTTGAGTAAAAAGTGGCAACTGCTTTTTGTTCAGGGCTTGTATGTGTGATTAACATCGTCCCCACCAGTGATGTTAGAGTTAAAATAGTCCCCCTTTAAAACTTTCAGTTAAGAATGAATATTCTGTGAAGCCTGAAGAACCTGGATTGCCCATGCAGAACTCCTGCAGTGAACACTTGGGATATTTTTCTACTGACCTATTTGCTTGGTTAGTTTTGTTTTCACTTTTTCATAATATACATTTTTACTGGGTAATTTCTGGAGAACTCTGTCAACACAGAGCCTGATGCAGGGCTCAAACTCACAAGCTGTGAGATCATGACCTGAGCCAAAGTCAGACGCTTAACTGACCGAGCCACCCAGGCACCCCTAGGAAGTACTTCTTAACAATCCTATTTGATCACAGGGGACCAGGGTGAATTGCAAGGTAGTAAGTTCCCCAACACTGGATGTGGTAGAGTCTGAGTTACCATTAATCAGAGTTAAATAATAGCAATATTCAAACTTTTTAGAAACAGAATCTTCTTCCAAAAAAAATTTTACATATAACCCGAGTATTTAAATAGACAAGAACAGCCTCAGATGTTATCCACCTACCACTAAGCTTCTCCCTGATGTCTTTTTTGAACTTATGAATCTGTCACCTCAGTTAGTGAGAAAACAACCCTTAAAAAAGGTCTCTCTATCTCTGTCTCCATCCACCCAACCCCCCACCCCCATAGATATTAGAGCTGGTATTCAAACCTGCATTGGATAGGCAGTTGAACTGGGGATCAGACCTTTCTTTATCTGCTTATAAAAATTCAATTTTTGTGAATTTATTTCATTCACTTTAAGCTGATTTCCAAAGGGATTTTAATTTTAAATAGAGCATAGAGCTACAATAAACATAGCTGCTGAGGACATGAATGATGATGGTGAGAATTTTGAGTCAGTCACTTCCGGAATTTGTAGAATGTGACCATCAACTGTTTGTAGAAATGTGACCATCTACTATTTTGAACAAGGAAAAGACTTGGCAACCAATAAGTGTGGTTAAACCAAAGATGTGCTCACTTAAGTGGTGCAAAAATATCAACAAGTTTCTTGATATTTTAACATTTTAACCAGAAAGAAATTTATTGTATTAAACTTTATCTGGGATATGAGATTGGGAAGGGTTTTGGAAGGCTTTGTAATTTTCTCGTATTATTTGCAATTCCTTTTTGAACCCTCCTTGTCTTGAATCTTTGTTTTGCTTCAGAATTCTACCACTACAAATAAAAGTAAATTTTCAAATTAAGTTCTGTCTCTTGGGATAAAGGAGATAATATTAGTTTATTTGTTTCTTAGGGAATTATTTAAAAAAAATTAATCAAAATGCATGGAGAAGTTTTAGAAAAATGGTAGAGCCAGAAAATATCCATAAATGGAGGATATCTGACCTTTGCTGATCAGGTTGGAATAGTGTAATGTGACCCTCTAATCCTTTGTGGTTTTTTCCTATTATACACCTTTCGATACAGTCATATAATTTGGAGAGTCATAATCAATGAAGTCAGAATATTTTAATACTGCTGGTATCTGTTACTCTGTATCTGTATATTTTAGAGTTTAATCAATCATGGATTTGTGATGATCTTGATCATAAATTCTTTAGAGTCTTTGAAATAAATATTCTTCACCAAGTATGTAAGGTAAAGTGCTTTGGTATTTACCGCACCTTTACATGAAGCAAGGAACTTAGAAGCACCTTTGATTAGTGTATTGGTGCTGATTGTTTAATATTGTCTGACAATTTTCCTCTGAAATCTGTGACATGATTTTCTCTTGTTTCTAGCTCTGAATCACTAAGAAGTGAGACTGGGCTTGAATTAAAGGCTCCATTGCCAGAGTTTGAGAAAAGCAAAAAGGTTTCTCTTCTTCATTCAAGCAAAGAAAAGCTGAGAAGGTGAATTATGATACAACCCTTTTTTAATATTCATTATTCCTTTCTAGGAAGAAATTACTTTCATGAATTTCATAATGTTTTGTATTACTATTAAAAGTCTCTGTGAGACTAGTTAATCTGGCAACCAAATATGTGCCACTAACTCATTCATTCATTCATTCATTCATTCATTCAAAAAATATCTGTGAGTATCTGATATGTGCCAAAGGGTGACTGGAGAATTTAGGTAAAAAAAATCCTTGCCTTCGAAATCTTAGTCTTGTGCTCAGACAGACCTCTCAATAGGATGTTACATAGAAAATTATGTTCTAAGTGTCATGATAGAGAAGAGCACATAGTAATCACACTGGGAAAGTTACCTAAGACAGAATAAGGGGGCAGGAAAGGCTTTCTTGAGAAAATGATCGCTAGATTGAGCTTTAAACAAAAAGTGACTATTAATTTGTTTTGAAAGGGGAGGATGTTTCATGTAGCTGAAAGAGCAGGTATAGAGACTGGCAGAATATGAAAATTCAGTGAATTTATGAAACTCCAAGTGTATCCATGTACTTGGCTATAATGGCACAAATGGGAAGAGGCAAGAGATGAGAAGTAGTAGCCAAGGATTGTGCTCGTCATGTTAAGAAATTTGAATTTGAATCTGAAACTGTTGGGGAGGCACCAAAGGGTTTTAGCCAAAGAGTGATATGATAAGATTTGCACCTAGAGTGAACACTCTAGCAGGATGTTAGAGAGTGAGTTGAATCCGGAAGCCTGTGGAATCTGTAAAAAGAAGTGATGAAATCCTGAACTATGGTTTTAGAAATGGGATAAAGAGGAATAAACCATTTCCAGATATACTAAGTAGGTACATTCAGTATAAGCATGGATGCAGGAGGAGTCAAGTGTAACTTTCAAATAGATGTTGCATTTACCAACTGACTGGGAAGTCCAGGAGAATGGCAGTCTGGCAGTGGGAGGTGACTTTTGCTCTTGTTGGGTGTGAACACTCCAGGGGAGTTTCCATGAAGCTGTCCAGTCAGAATTGACCCTTAGGTTCTAGAGAAAGATCCAGGCTACAAATATGGACTTAGAACTCTCAGGATACAGCATCTACTTGAAGCAGTGGTTGTAGGGATGGATATGATGAGTTTGCAAACCATGTAAAGAAGAGATAAGTGGAAAAGAGAACCTTGGGAAAAATCTATTTAGGGTACAGGCAGCAGAGAAGAAATAAGAGAGAAAGGAAGGAGTTACTAGGAAGATAAGCCAAGAGGGAATGGAATTGAGGCGACCAGAGAAGAGTTTCCTAAAGGAATGAGTGTTCAATGACATGACACAGAGAGCAAGTGAGAGAAGAACTAATAATTAACTGTATTTGTCAGAGCCTAAACATCATTGGTCTTGGCAAAAATAATTTCATTGGCATGACTAGGGAAGAAGCACCACTGTGGAAAGTGGAAGGAAAGAAAATGAGGGTGTGTGATAAGTAAAAGGGGATCTTGGGTAAAATGAAAAATGTTGATAAGATTGGGCCAGACACGAATATGTTTTTATATTCCAAAAGAAAATACCTGGAAGAGAGACAGAGGTCGTGAAGATACTCGTGTTCTGATGATCTATAGTGTAAAAAAATGACATATCTATGATATAAAAATGAAGCCAAAATTTATTGGCTTGATACATGGTTTTATGGATCAGCAATTTGAGCAGAGCTCAGTGGGCAATTCTGTCTACATGACATCAACTGGAGTCACTTGGTAGTATTCAGCTAGTGGATGGTCTAGTCAGGATGATCTAAGACCTTATGTCTGGAGCCTTTGGAGGGATGGCTAGAAGTTTAAGCTCAGCTGGGGCTATCAACTGAAGCTTTTCCTGCATGGTAGTCAGGCTTCTTACATGGCAGCCCAGGGATCCTAGAGAGTGTTCCAAGAGACAGGGAGAGGAAGCTGCCATTCTCTTGAGGTGGGGGACCAGAAACTGTCCCAGTGCCACTTCTCCTGTATGTCTATTGGTCATAGCAGTCACAAAACCTATCCCAATCTAAAGGAAGGGTACATAACCTCACCTCTCAGTGGGAGGAAGGTCAAATAATAGTAAAATCTCCTATATCTAGAGAGGGGGTTGGTGATGGACTTAGCATCCCTAAGTAGGTAGAAGCTTACGGAATCTATAACTAGGTGGAAGAACACCTCTTCTAAAAATGGAAAGAAGAAGCTAAAGCTAAGTGTGGATAAAGATGAATCTTTTCATGAGGAAAATTGAGTAATTTTTGCCAAATGGCCTGTGTTATCTGCTGAAGATTAATGGGAATGTGGTAGGGTTTGGTCTTGATGACATGGGCTAGTGGATGGCCTAATTTAGTCCAAAAGACCATCACTCACGTTTGCCACTTTGGCTGAGTGAAGACTTAGGGGGGACCTGTTGGCTAGTGCTGTCCCATAGATTTCAGTGATCTGCACTGAGTGAGAAAAACACAGTGCAGGAGTATTTTTAAAACTATATATTATACATTTTATATTCTAAGATTGTGTTTTCCATACTTTATTTGGTGTTAGAATTTGTGATATTTCTAAATGGCTGCAATGAAAGGATATTGGGAGATGCTACCTCTATTTCATTGTTTTTCATGCCCAGATCTGATGTGAGAGTAGAGGGGCACAGAGAGAGAGAGAGAGAGAGAATGAATCCCAAGCAGGCTCTGCACTGTCAGCGCAGAGCCTGGTGCGGGTCTCATACTCACAAACCATAAGCTCATGACCCGAGCCAAAATCAAGAGTTAGATGCTTAAGCAACTGAGCCACCCAGGTGCATCTGGACACATTTTTAGTTAATACATAAGACTTGAAAGAAGTCTTTCACTTCAAAGTGCTCATAAGAGGTCACTTTGAGTTGTGTCTCAGTCAAAGGATGAAACTTTACTCAATCTGTTTGCTCCACTATCATTTAAGGATACAGGTCTCATATTTTCCTGCCCTCTCCTAACCTCAAGTTCCTAAATTTGATGTTAGAGCCAGAAAGATTTGAGAAGCAATGAATAAGGCTAGATCCATAATGTTTGCTAATATACTATATAGTCTCAGGAATATTAGAGCATTTAGGATAAAAAGTTACACTTAATTGATATCAAGATTAAATCAGTGTAAGAGGTAAGTTGCATGTGTTTAAGTGTTTGGTTTGATGAATTTATTTAATTTTATTTTTATTATTTTTTATTTTGGAGAGAGAGATATCCCATGATCCTGGGATCATGACCTGAGCCAAAATCAAGAGTTGAACGCTTAACTGACTAAGCCACCAGGCACCCCTGGTTTGAATTTTAAAAAGATGGTTTGTTACCCACAGTTCCCAAGAGGAGGAGGTATATCACACCATTCAGGAATACATAGGGAAGGGCCAGCATTGGTCATGAGGCAGACAAATGCATACACCCATCTAAACCACAACGTTGCCATTATCAGAATGTTCCCTTGTGTATTAAGCATGTCTTTTTTTTTTTTTTTAATGTTCACTTGGTTTGAGAGAGAGAAAGAGAGCAGGGGAGGGGTGGAAAGAGAGAGAGAGAAAGAATCTGCAGCAGACATTTTGCTGTCAGCACAGAGCCTGATACAGGACTCAAACCCACAAACCGCGAGATCATCACATGAGCCAAAATGAAGAGTTGGATGCTTAACCAACTGAGCCACCCAGGCACCTCCAAGTATGTCTTTTTATTCTGATGTTTTGACATCAGGTACCTTATTGACCATGTAGAGACTGCTCATCCCAGCACTAGCCAGTTTCTAGAGATAGTAAATGATTTGCTGGTGAGCATGCCCTGCATATGTACAAACTGACCGATCCAGAGACCATCCACACCCATTCTCTCTATCAGGCTCTTATGCTCCAGGCCAATATTTCCCTGCTCTTATCACCTCATGGTGATGTGCTACCAACCTGGGACAGCCCCTACATCCCACAGCCTGCTGAAGTTATTCAAACTAGCCAATCCTAGGCCTGCTTACCCACCTAGCCTGTTTCTTCTCTCAGAAACCACAATAAACTCTCTTACCCTTGTTTTCTTTCCTCTGACTCCTCCTGCCTCCTAACTGACCCTGGTGCTTCCCCATGTGGCCTTGCATAGTGTGAAGTGGCCCCCTCCTCTTGGGAACTGTGAGTAACAAACTCTTTTTAATGGTGGTCATCTCCTGATCTGTTGGCCTCACCATACCTGAATAATAATAAAACCTGCATTTTAAATTATCTCATGTTCTTTCCTGGTCTATCCTTTCGCATCTCCTAGCAACTACTATTCTATCACTATAGATTTGTTTTGCTTGTTCTAGAACTATATATTAATGGAACCATCAATATGTACACTTATGTCTGGCTTCTTTCACCTAGAAAATGTTTTAAGATTCATTACAGTTGTAATGTGTGTTTGTTGTAATGTGTGTGTTGAATGTAATGTGTGTTTTAGTGGTTTGTTCCTATTTATTGTTGAGGAATATTCCGTTGTGTAAACATACCACATTTTGGTTATTCATTCTCTGGGTTTTATCTATTAAGAATAAAGCTACTGTTGGCGGTGGGGGATGGGGGGGGTGCCTGGCTGGCTCAGTTAATAGACTGATTGACTAATAGAGCATGCGACTCTTGGCATACAGCTTACTTAAAAAAAAAAAAAAAGAAGGAGAAGAAGAAGACTATGCACATTATTTTATATATGTTTTACGAACCTACATTTACATTTTTCTCAGAAATAGAGTGGCATATCACAGGATTGGTGTATGTTTCTTTTTAGGAGACTTCCAAGCAGAAATCCAAAATAGTAGCACCATTTTGCACTCCCACCCGCAATATATGAGAACACTAGTTGCTCCATATCCTCATCATTTGGTATTGTTAGTCTTTTCCATTTTACTCATTCTTGTGGTTGTGGAGTATGATCTAATTGTGATTCTAAATTTGCATTTTCCTGATGATTAATGAGGTTGAGCAGCTTTTCACATGTGTTTGGCCATTTGTATATCTTCTTTTAT